GCCCCTCCCCACGGCAAGTGACACCGAGCGGGGCCCCACCCACCCTTGGCCAGGGCGGCAAACCCCGCTAGCCAGACTGGCGCCCTGGCATTTCCCACACAGGGCCGGCAGGCAGCGCCCGCCTGCTGCCAGGGTCTGTCTGGGAGTGGGAGAGGTTGTTCATGGCTCTTGTCCCAGGGCCTATCTGGGAACGGAAAGGGGATGTTCACAGCTCCATTTCCAGGGCATGTCTGGGAATGGGAGGGGGATGTTCATAGCTCCAGGGCCCGTCTGGGAACGGGAGGGGGATGTTCCTGGCTCCATCGCAAGGGCCCGTCTGGGAACGGGAGGGGGATGTTCCTGGCTCCATCGCAAGGGCCCGTCTGGGAACGGGAGGGGGATGTTCCTGGCTCCATCGCAAGGGCCCGTCTGGGAACGGGAGGGGGATGTTCCTGGCTCCATCGCAAGGGCCCGTCTGGGAACGGGAGGGGGATGTTCCTGGCTCCATCGCAAGGGCCCGTCTGGGAATGGGAGGGGGATGTTCCTGGCTCCATCGCAAGGGCCCGTCTGGGAATGGGAGGGGGATGTTCCTGGCTCCATCGCAAGGGCCCGTCTGGGAATGGGAGGGGGATGTTCCTGGCTCCATCGCAAGGGCCCGTCTGGGAATGGGAGGGGGATGTTCCTGGCTCCATCGCAAGGGCCCGTCTGGGAACGGGAGGGGGATGTTCACAGCTTTGTTACCAGGACCTGTCTAGGAATGGGAGGGGGATGTTCCTGGCTCTATCACCGGGGCCTGTCTGGGAACGGGAGTTCAATATTCACAGCTCCAGCGCCTGGGCCCCTCTGTAAAGGGGAGGGGAATGTTCAAGGCTCCCTCGTCAGGGCCTGTCTGGGAACAGGCAGGGGATGTTCGTGGCTCCGTCACTAGGACCTGTCTGGGAACAGGAGTGGGGAGTTCACGGCTCCATCGCCAGGGCCGGTCTGGGAGCGAGAGAGGAGTTCACGGCCCTGTCGCCAGGCGTGGTCTGGGGGGTGCTCATGGCCTGTCCCTGGTGCCGGCCTGGGGATGCTGAGGGCCGCGGGGCTGAGGCAGGGCGCTGGGCCCAGCTCCCACTCGCCAGCCTGGGTTAAACGTGTACGTACCAGCACATGGATCCCTGCTCCTGGGACGGGACCCCACAAAGTGCCCTGCCCGGGGAGGGGCCGGGCATTCGGCCTTCGCGTGCGTGGAGCAGGACAGGGCCCGGGCTGTACAGCGGTGCCTGGTGCTTCCTCTCCCAAAGCAAAGCCCCCGTCCCTCCCTCCCTCTGCCCGCTTGGCTGCTGGGGGCTCTGCCCCTCCTCTGTGCTGGGCTTGGGCCGGGGCTGGTCCCTGCCTGGGCCAGGCAGATTTTGGAGCCGAGCTTAGGGGCCGCTCTGCCCCTCGGAAGTGGCCCATCTGCTCTGGGGGGGCCTGGCACTATTTGGCCCCAGGCCTGGCAGGTGCTGGCTGTGGTGATCTGGGCGCCCGGCTGACAGGCTCTAGCCCAGC